AGAATTCAACAGACGCCCTTGCCCTTGCCTCACAAAATGCGCCAGCTCCAGCCTTAACGACAACAAAACGCCATCAATTTTCCTGCGCGCTTCCTAAAATGTGGTAAAATGGAACAGAAGGTCAGTCCCGTAAAATTGCTGCCTCTCTCTTCTGGCTGTAAATTTAAAATGGTGTCAGGCCGGATAATACATTTCTGATGAATGCTTTAAGTATAACAAGCTACTGTGGAGCCGAAAAGGTTTGAGTGCGAGAAACTAAAGACAATAATGCAAGGTTGCTTATCGGAGTAAGCTGAATCCTTGGCCACCCGATCTGAATTCCCTAATTCTTTTAACAATAAAAGCTTGAGCAATTCATATATGGATGCTAAGTGACTGGTCTTTTTTCTCCTTCATGTTTCTGTTCCAATGACACACAATCCCTTCCTTCAAGCAAAACTGCTAAACTTCTTCATTTACAGGAAAGACCTGTAAAACCTAGTTTTTATGCTAGTATGTATATTCTGGATCACACTGTGCAGATAATTGCTCAGTAGGTTCTCAACTTTCAAGAAAACTATACTGTATCATATTGGCCTGCCTTAATAATAATAATAATAATAATAATAATAATAATAATAATAATAATAATAATAAAAATAATAATACATAATAATAAATAATAATAATAATAATAAAATAATAATAATAAAAAGTTGGAAGGGACCTTAGAGGTCATCTAGTCCAACCCCCTGCTCAGGCAGGAAACCCTATACCATGTCAGACAAATGGCCGTCCAGTCTCTTCTTAAAAACCTCCAGTGATGGAGCATTCACAACTTCTGGAGGCAGGTTGTTCCACTGGTTAATTGTTCTCACTGTCAGGACGTTTCTCCTTCGTTCTAGATTGCTTCTCTCCTTGATCAGTTTCCACCCGTTGCTTCTTGTCCTGCCTTCAGGAGCTTTGGAGAATGGCTTGGCTCCCTCTTCTTTGGAGTAGCCCCTGAGATACTGGAAGACTGCTATCATGTCCCCCCTCGTCCTTCTCTTGATTAAACTAGACATACCCAATTCCAGCAGCCGTTCCTCGTATGTTTTAGCCTCCAGTCCCCCTAATTATCTTTGTTGCGAGTCTCAACATCTTTTTTACATCGTGGTGACCAAAACTGGATGCCGTATTCCAAGTGTGGCCTTACCAAGGCATTGTAAAGTGGTATTAACACTTCACGTGATCTTGATTTAGAGCAAGGTTTTGCTTAGAATTTTAACTTATCTCTCTTACCAAATTTTTAGACGTATAGAACTGCCGATAGGTCACAATCACTGCCGCTGCGTGATTGTCTTTGTTTCTTTGTAACGTTTTAACTTTGCAAATTACTTTTTCTCCAGAGTACGACTTAATATTCTGAACGGTCAGCAGAGTCAGCCATATGGCCATCACTGAGTGGTTTTGTTTATTTGTTTTGATTTTGTCCTTAGAAGGGAAGCTTAAAATTAACCATTTCATTAAAATTAAATTCTTTTTGGCAAAACTGATCCAAAACCCACTGCCGCCAATAACTTAGATTCGTGCAGATGTTCAAAGCCCTGGATTTGTAACGAAAAGCACTCTGGACCCCAGATGTCGTTTTGAAAACACATTTTAAGACAAAATGCCCATAAAACTAGCCTCGGGGTATTAAGTTCAATGGGCTTGCACAAATTATGCAAAATTAATAACTCCTCTATGCAGGATGCAGCCATAAGAAAAACTTGCTGGGGTTCGTAGGGGAGTGAAAGGAAAGAGGAAGCTATTTCTTTAAAAACAATGAAAAAAAATGGGGGGCTTTTTCGCTCTCACAATCACTTTTGAAAGGAGTGTAGAGAGCCAATTTAGTCTGTTAAAGCATCAGGCTGAAAACTGGGAGCCGGTGAGTTCTAGTCCTGCCTTAGGCATGAAAGCCAGCGGGGTGACTTTGGGCCAATCACCAGGAGACTGTGAGTTCTAGTCCCGCCTTAGGCATGAAAGCCAGCGGGGTGACTTTGGGCCAATCACCAGGAGACAGGGACTTCTAGTCCCGCCTTAGCATGAAAGCCAGCTGGCTGACTTTGGGCCAATCCCCAGGAGACGGTGAGTTCTAGTCCCGCCTTAGCATGAAAGCCAGCTGGCTGACTTTGGGCCAATCACCAGGAGACGGTGAGTTCTAGTCCTGCCTTAGGCATGAAAGCCAGCGGGGTGACTTTGGGCCAATCCCCAGGAGACGGTGAGCCTGGCTGAGGAATTCTGGGAGTTGAAGTCCACAAGTCATCAAAGGGCCAAGTTTGAAGACCCCTGGCATCAAGAGAGGGATAGAATCAAGATCACATTAAGTGATATTATCGCTTTACAATGCCTTCGTAACACCACACTTGAAACACTGCATCCAATTTCGATCACCACATTATAAAAAAAGATATTGAGACTCCGGAAAGAGTGCAGAGAAGAGCGACAAAGGCTAAAACGCATGAAGAATGGTTGCAGGAACTGGGCATGGCTGATCTAATGAAGAGAAGGACCAGGGGTGACATGATCGCAGTCTTCCAATATTTGAGGGGGCTGCCCCAAAGAAGAGGGAGTCAAGCTATTCTCCAAAGCGCCTGAAGGCAGGACAAGAAGCGACGGATGGAAACTGACCAAAGAGGGAAGCAACGTAGAACTAAGGAGACGTTTCCTGACACTGAGCACAATCAGCCAGTGGAACTGCTTGCCTCCAGAGGTCATGGATGCTCCAACACTGGAGGCTTTTAAGAAGGGACTGGACAGTCATTTGTCTGAAATGGTATGGGGTAGGGGTCTTCAAACTTGGCCCTTTGATGACTTGTGGACTTCAACTCCCAGAATTCCTCAGCCAGCATGCCTGGCTGAGGAATTCTGGGAGTTGAAGTCCACAAGTCATCAAAGGGCCAAGTTTGAAGACCCTTATTTGCGGACTTCAACTCCCAGAATTGCTCAGCCAGGCACACTGGCTGAGGAATTCTGGGAGTTGAAGTCCACAAGTCATCAAAGGGCCAAGTTTGAAGACCCCTACTTGTGGACTTCAACTCCCAGAATTGCTCAGCCAGGCACGCTGGCTGAGGAATTCTGGGAGTTCAAGTCCACAAGTCATCAAAGGGCCAAGTTTGAAGACCCTACCTGGTATAGGGTTTCCTGCTTGAGCAGGGGAATGGCCTAGAGAAGATCTCCACGGTCCATTCCAACTCTGTTCTTCTATTACTTTCTACAAACAAGTGTTTGCTAAGAAAGGAGTATTAATAAATGCAAAGGCCTTTTATCTCAATGCTTAGGGAGATATCAGAGGCCGAAGACAGAAAGATTCTACTCTGATACTCCCTTTGGTGGGTAAAAACACTTCCCTTTTTCACATTCAAATTCCAATGCAGAATATGGTTTCTTCAAGCATTTCCAATTAGACCCTAAGCGAACGTAGCGATTCATCTCTAAAGAACTGCATCGTCAATTTTTGTAATTTTTTTTTGACACTACTAGCATAATTAGTGGGCTACAGAAAATTAGAACGGCTCCTCAATATTAGGTCTTCGTTAACACATCTCAAAACAAAAATTTACCTTAAATGCAAATCCCT